TCGCGCAAGGTTATCCTGGAGATTATGGCCAGTCGTCCTAGCCACTGGGTTAGGGTCTTACCTTGGAGTTTTGTCGTAGTAGCTTCGGATGCTAATCTGGAGGTAGCATCTTGTAAGTCAGAGAGTGAGCTGTGCTCAAGCGTGTCGTAGCCCCCTGGGAATAACTTCTCTGTGAGGTCTCGCAGAAAGTTATCCACTATGCCGTGTCCTTCTGAGACACCGTCGTGCCTGCTTGGTCGTGGCGAGTTTCCGCCATCGATTTCCATATTTGTGTGGGTGAGTGTATGCGAGTATGACTTGGAACGTGTGTGTACGACACGGTGGGAGGAGGGAAAGGAGGAAAGCAGTGCTATAGAGAGGGTAGTTTAGCTGTTGGTCGTGTGGTGGTGTAGACCTTGGTGTGTGTCAAAACCGTGACTACAGCGTCCTCTCCGTGTGGCGGTGTATGCGAGTAGGCGGCCTAGGGCAGGGGCCGGGCGTTAGTACTTCTTCACCTGTGTGTCAGCGGAGAGCGTTGGGGTTAGTGGCGTCGGCGCACGTAGGGGGACGCGGCGTTAGAGACGCAGCGTGACGGACGCGGCGTAAGACGCAGCGTGACGGACGCGGCTTAAGACGCAGCGTGACGGACGCGGCTTAAGACGCAGCGTGACGGACGCGGCTTAAGACGCAGCGTGACGGGCGCGGCTTAAGGCGCAGCGTGATGGGCGCGGCTTAAGACGCAGCGCGATGGGCGCGGCTTAAGGCGCAGCGTTAGAGACGCAGCGTGACGGACGCGGCGTAAGACGCAGCGCGATGGGCGCGGCTTAAGACGCGGTTTAAGACGCAGCGTTAGAGACGCAGCGTTAGAGACGCAGCGTGACGGGCACGGCTTAAGACGCAGCGTGATGGGCGCGGCTTAAGACGCAGCGCGATGGGCGCGGCTTAAGACGCAGCGTTAGAGACGCAGCGTGACGGACGCGGCGTAAGACGCAACGTGACGGACGCGGCTTAAGACGCAGCGTGATGGGCGCGGCTTAAGACGCAGCGCGATGGGCGCGGCTTAAGACGCAGCGTGATGGGCGCGGCTTAAGACGCAGCGCGATGGGCGCGGCTTAAGACGCAGCGTTAGAGACGCAGCGTGACGGACGCGGCGTAAGACTCAACGTGACGGACGCGGCGTAAGACGCAGCGTGATGGGCGCGGCTTAAGACGCAGCGCGATGGGCGCGGCTTAAGACGCAGCGCGATGGGCGCGGCTTAAGACGCAGCGCGATGGGCGCGGCTTAAGACGCAGCGCGATGGGCGCGGCTTAAGACGCAGCGCAATGGGCGCGGCTTAAGACGCAGCGCGATGGGCGCGGCTTAAGACGCAGCGCGATGGGCGCGGCTTAAGACGCAGCGCGATGGGCGCGGCTTAAGACGCAGCGTTAGAGACGCAGCGTTAGAGGCGCGTTTGTGACGCACCTGCGTTTGTGACGCACCTGCGTTTGTGACGCACCTGCGTTTGTGACGCACCTGCGTTCGTGGCGCGGCGTAGCTTTAGACGCAGCTCCAGTAAGCAGTAGCAAAAAGGCAGCAGGCTGAGGCAAGGTAATGCAGTTTTAGCGACAGTGAGGGTTAGAAATAGAGTATTAGTTTTGATGTAGTACAATCAAACATAGAGTTTGGCATAGTAGAGTGTTAGTTTCACCACTAGGTGGGAGTGCAGTATCTGTCAGATCACACGCCGATGTGGTTCAACAATAACGCGCATCATGCAGGAGCAGGAGTACAGAATAGGATTAGTTACCACAGCAATGTGTTATTATCAGTGGCAAGGAGGGGGCGGGGGTGTGTGGGAGTGCAGTGTTTGTTAAATCACCACACAGATGTGTTACTGTAAACTAGCAGTAGTGAGTGAGCAGGAATAAAGCATAGAATGCGTATCACCAGCGACATGCAGCAGAAGGAGAGCAGAGTTTACAGCATTAACCTTGGCTAATGCAGCAATGTAGCTTAACAATTATGTTTAAGAGGAGAAGCAGAAACAGAGCGTTAGCTTTTGTTATGTATAGCAGTAATGTGTTCTAACAAAACAATATGACATGCAGAAGGGGGCGGAATTAAAATTATTAGTTTTAGTTTAGTGCAAGGAGGGGCGGAATTAGCGTATTAGTTTAGTACAATCAAACATCAAGTTTGGCAAAGTAGAGATTTTAGTTGGAACAGAAACAGCAAGGGACAACAGCCAAAACAGTGTTAATGTTACAACCACAGCCAATCACTTGATCAGGAGACGTAGTGCAGGGTAAAAGTCAAGACAGCAGCAATGTGGTCCCGGGAGTAGTGCCGGGACCGGAAAGCAATTTTGTGTTTAGACAATAAGAGGTGCGGCCCGTTTAGCAGTATGCCGAGACGGCTGGCGCCTTATGATCGTCAGAACACAGAATCAGAGTGGGATATGATAGTACGAAGTATAGTAAGTAGTGTTATTGTTAGACAGCAGGTAGGCAGTACAGCAGAATGGTATTAGCAGTGGGGATGCGGCTCTGGCTTTTAGCGCGCCAGGGCCGGAAGTTTAGCCGTATGCTAAAAACAAAGGAGCGTAGCTAGCTAGTTTTGCCGGCAACGGCACGTTTTTAGAAGCAGTTTGAGCAGTAAACAATGAGTCTTAGTAACCGAATGCAGTTTGGTCAAACAGAGTAGCACTAGTTTTAACGGTAGAGAAGCAGCTTATAGTGTGAGCAGTAGTAGGACAACGATGTTGTCCGAGTGTAGCTTTGAGGCTTAGCAGGCCCGAGCGGAAGTTAGCTTAGCTAGAACAAAGGAGGGTAGCTTAGCCGTTAGCTTTCGAGCGCGGAGGTTTTAGCAGTAGTTTATACAACGAAAGTCTGGAGCGAGTTATACGGTTCGCACAAGCACGTATTTGCAGTGGTGGAATGGGGTTTGTCTGTATGTACTGTAGGGTGCTGGTGTGTGTATACAACAGCAGGTTAGCAGGCAGAGAGAGTGGTGAGATAGAGTTAGCGTTAGCAACCTTTAGCAGAACGATAGCATCACATTCAAACAGCTGCCATTTACAGCCTTTTACACCGATATACTCGGTTACAATCCTGTGTGACTCGGGTCACAAAGGAGCACAGAGAGGTCTGTACGTTCGTGTTTCTGGACACGGTGCACAGTGGTTACAAGGAGAAGTTTTTGCGCTTTCTCTTCAGAGGTTAGCGGCTTCGCATTCCACGCTGCCCACGGGGCTACACGTTGGAGATGCGTAGTACCTGTACAAAAAGTCAGGATTTGAGACTATATATAGTCTATTGGGATCACGAGCGCTTTTGTTGCAAGCGGTCGCGTTAGGGGAGCTCAAATTGTTGTCAAATTCACCATAGCAACGGGGTAGAGGAGCAGAGGGGGTGCGGGAGTGGGGGGAAAGCGCTTGGAGCGGGCAGTGGCAGAGTTTAGCGTTTACGGATCAATTCACAGAGTATGAGGTTGATAAATTCTGGTCCATATACGCGGATCTCACAAACAGGGTACCATTATGTAGGGTGACTACTTATATTAGCTGATTATAATTACTTATTAGTATGAATTTGGTAGTGTGGAGCGGCTAGTCTCCGGAGCGGAAGCTCGCCGTTCCACCAACAGGTCTATGTTATTTATTTTGGGCACCAGCAGAGTTAGAAATCTGCACATAGACACCAACCAAATCTTTGCCTCGATATCAATCTATAATCTAAGGGTGTAGAATACGTTTTATCCGCCAGTGATAGTCCGAGATCTTAACAACACGACTCTGATAGGATTGAGTTAAAGAAAAGGGATTTATTGATTACAAAGTGGGATGAAGCATAACGAAAAAGGATTTCTGGTCACATTTGAGTAGGAGCTGTACACATTTCATTCAAATTGAACACTGAACAAGGAACAGTCTTACTTTGGAGGAGCGTAGAGGATGGAGAAGGGCTTTGGGTTGGGAAACAGCCCACGTGGTTTCTTTGTCCGGGCAGGCGGGAGTTATGAAGCCTGCTAGTTTGGTCCAGCTGCTGGTGCACGCGAGCCAAGGAAAGAGGCTGGTGATGAACAGTTCGTAGATTCCAACCAGAAAGGAGGCTTGCGTGAAAGCGGGAGGCCTCGGGGCGGACGGCACAGTCGTTGCTGGAGGCGCGTACTTGCGTGGCCGCAGGGCTGAGAGGGAGGTTGCGAGCGCAGGCCGTGTAGGGAACACGTACCCACGGGTGGTTGTTATAGTGGATTCGGGGAAAACAAGAGAAAGAACAATGCGTGTGGGTGCTCATATAGGCTTCCCAGGGGGCGTGTCCATGCCGCCCCTGCCCTCTGTGGACAGACCCCTTTTACAACAGACAGTTTGTAAAGGAAACACACAGGATTGATGCTAATAATCATAAGACATGTACAAACACACACCGTATTTCATTACTTTGACATTGATACACACATATGGGGCACAATGCAGATTATTGGAGTACTGGACCCAGGGGTACCGGTTCGCAATTGTCCGTCCCGGGTGTGATAGTGTCCATTGTTCACAAGGGGGCGTCAGAGCGCCGCGGGAGAGTCTTTGATTGTCCGGTGGCAGGAGTCTGTGAGCGAGGGCAGGGTTGTGATCTTTGATCTCTACAGGCAGGCAGAGACAGAGGTGCTTATCCCCGTGGTTACTTTATTACTCTTTTTGGCATCTGTAATCCTCATGATTGATGGCGGCTTGTGGCTGACCCCATGGCTCCTTTGAAGCTGTATCTCTCCATTTGGTCAATGGTAAACAGAGTGGACAGGCTTGGTCCTGCCCTCAGTTTAACCTTACAGTTGTAATGAAGGTTGAAATGAGCGCACACATTTACACCACCTCCTGACCTGGCGTACCATTTTTGCGTACCGTACGTGCACGTTCAGATTGATGAATGCCGAAAGTGTAAATTTTCTGCGTACGCCTCATTTACACCCTGATTTGGTCGTACGCAAGTTTCATAAATGAGGGCCTGTGTGAGAGAGTAAACCATGAGAGAGTACACCCTGTGTGCAGGTGCTGCTGATGTCCATGAAGGACATGAATGTGGCCAAACTGACGTCCACAGACCTGCCTCTGTTCAGTGGCATCATCAGAGACCTGTTCCCTGCTGTGGGGACTCCAGTCAGCGACTACAGCCAGGTGTGACATCACAGCTGATAGTCCATACTGTTGGTTAACTGACAATATTGTCAGTGTGTGTGTACTGTGCTTACACACAGATATCACAGAAAAGTTATATTCTATACAGTTAGTCTCCAACCTTTACACGACCTGCTGCAGTCCATCTGCACATAACACATTTATGGTTTTAAATATGTGAAGTTCAACTCTTCTAATGAATTTGTCATTGTTCAATATCAACTGGAGCTTCTTTAGACACGTGACAAAGAGAGGATCCTCCCTCACCCAATCAGCTCTCAGCCAACGAGGCAGATAGTAGAATAGACTACAGTACAGTAAAGTACAGTACAGTAGAGTACTGTACAGTACAGTACAGTAGAGTACTGTACAGTATAGTACAGTAGACTACTGTAGTCTGTTTCCTAAAGTTTGTGATTGACAGCTGAAAGAGGCCATCAGTCTGGATCTGCATCACAGAGGCCTCCAGCTCACTCCCTTCACTATCACTAAAGTGATCCAGCTTTATGAGACCAAGAACTCCCGTCACTCCACCATGATGATCGGGAAGAGCGGCAGCGCCAAGACGGTGACCTGGAGGGTTCTACAGAGCGCACTCACGGCCCTCGCACACAAGCAGCTCCCAGGGTTCTGCCCTGTGCAGGTCAGCTCTGCTTCTGCTGACCACTCCCTGTATATACATTTGCCTGCTTTATTATGATGATGATGCTGATGATGATGATTATTATTATATTCACATGTGCCTGCTTTATTATTATTATTATTACATTCATCTGACATCTCTCTGATAATCCACACATTATATACACATTAATCTGCTTTATCATATGACTTGGATCGTACGCGCGCTCTGATTCGCTGAATTGCGGTCTGATATTTTCCCATCTCAGACTGTTACCATGACAATTGGTCCGCAGCGCGTATCAAATTTGATATCTTCCCTCGGTAAAAAAGAAATAATGAGCGACGACTGGGAGCATTCTCCCCCAGGGAATTCTATTATCCGGACGAGTTCGAAGAGCCAGAGCAAGTAATAACAGTAAATAACGACGAAAACACAACTCCTAACAGTCAAGAAGAGATTGACAATTTGTTACAGACCAGAAAGGTAAAAACACGATTAGGAAAACCAAGTCAGACATGAACATACTTCACAAATATCTAAAAAGCATTGGTAAAGACACAGAAGAGATTGAGAACATACCAGCGGGCGACCTCAATCATCTGATAAGCAAGTTCTTCATGTCACGATTTGACAGTTTGGTTGCATGTTTTTGCTAGTTGAAACCAATCGATATTTGCACAAATTAAAAATAGTCATATAATAAAACATTTATTAACCTCGCTTGCTCGGTCTGTACAGAGAAATATCAGACCTTGGTCTTTTTGCACAGACCTCGCCACGGCTCGGTCTGTACAAAAAGCCTGTTTATTAAGCCGTTATTATTATTATTATTGACCCAGTGTCTGCTCCATAGTATGAAGTCTCTCATTTCTCCCTGTATTCTACTGTAATGTGCAACACTGACATTTCCCTGAAGTTGAAGGTGTTCCTTGTGTAGGATTACCCTGTGAACCCCAAGTCCATGAGTCTGGGAGAGCTGTACGGAGAGAACAACCTGTCCACCAACGAGTGGAACGATGGAGTGCTCTCCTCTCTGATGAGAACAGCCTGTGCAGGTTACCATCAAGTCCGGTCTCTCTCTGGTCTCTCTCTGGTCTCTCTGGTTAACTCCCTGCTCTACTCTGACAGATGAGAGACCAGATGAGAAGTGGATAGTGTTTGATGGTCCTGTGGACACTCTGTGGATTGAAAGCATGAACTCAGTTATGGACGACAACAAAGTTCTAACACTCATCAACGGGGAAAGGATATCGATGCCTGACCAGGTGCACGAACTCTCTCTCTGGTCTCTCTCTCTGGTCTTTCTCAGGTCTCTCTCTGGTCTCTCTCTGGCCTCGCTCTGGTCTCTCTTTGGTCTCTACCTGGTTTCTCTCTGGTCTCTCTCTGGTCTCTCTGTGGTCTCTCTGTGGTCTCTCTCTGGCCTCTCTCTGGTCTCGCTCTGGTCTTGCTCTGGTCTCGCTCTGGTCTCTCTGTGGTCCCTCTCTGGTCTCTCTCTGGTCTCTCTATGGTCTCTCTCTGGTGTCTCTCTGGTTTCCCCCTGGTCTCTCCCTGGTCTCTCCCTGGTCTCTCTCATTGGTTTCGCTCCCTGGTCTTCCTCTGGTCTCCCCCTGGTTTCTCTCTAGTCTCTGTCTGATCTCTATCTGGTCTCTCTCCCTGGTAACCCGTTGGTCTCTCCCTGGTCTCCCCCCCTGGTCTTCCCCCGTTGTCTCTCCCCCAAGTATCTCTGCCTTTAACATGTTCCATAAATACAGGTGTCTCTACTGTTTGAAGTGGAGAATCTGGCCCAGGCGTCCCCAGCCACAGTGTCCCGCTGTGGGATGGTCTATAACGACTGCTCAGACCTGGGATGGAAGCCTTATGTTCAGTCGTGGCTCCAGCAGCGCAACAAGGTCTCACACATGGTTTCACACATGGTCTCATACACATGGTCTCACACATGGTCTCACACACATGGTCTCACACACATGGTCTCACACATGGTCTCTCACACATGGACTCTCACACATGGTCTCAGTGTGGTCTCACACAGATACATAAAGTGCACCTTTACCTTTGACACCTACAGTATAAATCCTTCTGCTGTCATCCAGCCTCATCACCAGTCCAGAAAACACACAAATCCACTGGACAAAGTTTAGTCAAAGTATACTTACATGTTGGTTAGAGACTCATTTCTGACTCCAAGTTACAGATTTCAAGTCCCCATTGTTTTTAAGTAAGACTTGCTGCTTGAAGTCATGGTCCTGAAATAAGCTGAAACTCCTCAGTCTGTGGCCTGTAAGATAAAGACAGAGCAGAAGAATAAGAATCAAAGACGGACTGAGGTGGAGGAAGTTTTTAATGCACCACCAACGAGGATCATCTGTGTAACACACTCTGTGCAGGCTTTAAACAGCAACAGCAACATAGAGAGACTCACATAAACACTGTTTCCCTGCACGTGTGTGTGTGTTTGTTGCTAAAGTGTGTGTCTGTCCTCAGGTGGAGGTGGTGCATCTGAAACCTCTGTTTGATAAATATGTGGAGCCCACTCTGATCTTCAAAAAGAACAACTGTAAAGAACTGATCCCAGTCTCGGAGCAGAACGCACTGGTCTCTCTGTGCCGCCTCTACCACTGCCTGGCCACGCCCACAAACGGAGTACGCTACACACCAGAAACTCTGTCTGCAGCTGCTCTGACTCTGCTCTGACTCTGGTCTCTCTCTGGTCTCTCTCTGGTCTCTGGTCTCCGGTCTCTCTCTGGTCGCTCTCTCTGGTCGCTCTCTCTGGTCTCTCTCTGGTCTCTCTCTGGTCTCTGGTCTCTCTCTGGTCTCTCTCTGGTCTCTCTCTGGTCTCTCTCTGGTCTCGCTCTGGTCTCTTTCTCTCCCTCGGACACAGAGGGTCTCACCTGTGTGTGTTTCAGGTCTCTCCCTCGGACACAGAGGGCCTGGAGCGCCTGGTGGAGTTGTGGTTCCTGTTCAGTCTGATCTGGTCGCTTGGAGCCTCGGTGGATGAAGACGGCCGTAAAAAGATGGATACGTTTCTGCGGCAGCTGGAGAGAACCTTCCCCATTAAGGTTGTGTCTGTGCTTCTGTCTCATACTCTGATGCTCCTCCATGTCTTAACTCTCCTGGACTTTCTAGGACACGGTTTATGAGTACTGTGTGGACTCCAAAACCAGAGCATGGACCCCTTTTGAAGAAAAACTCACCAAAGGATGGAAATACAACTCAGAGTAAATATACTAGAATAATATTGATCATATGTATCATACTGTATTTATTATATTTATCATACCCCAGATCCCCTCATGTTTCTCTGTGTGTCTTTGCAGAGCTCCGTTCTATAAGATTATGGTACCCACGGTGGACACAGTGCGGTACCACTTCCTGGTGAAGGCTCTGGTGATGGGGCAGGTCCCTGTGCTCCTCTCTGGACCTGTGGGCACAGGGAAGACTTCTGTGGCTCAGGGCATCCAGCAGGCTTTAGACAGCACCAAGTGGACTGGTCTCACCATCAACATGTCTGCCCAGGTCTGCTCCATCTGCACACACACACACACACACACACATACACACAGACAACACTCATAGACACACACACACACACATATACACACACATGCACACACACACACACACAACACACACACAGAGGACCTCCACACCTCTAGACCCTCAGACAAACTTCTACCGTTGGATAAATCCTGCACAGAATAAACAAATATTACATAAGTAGAGTAGAGCAGGGCAGGGCAGAGCAGGGCAGGGCAGGGCAGGGGGCAGAGCAGGGCAGGGCAGAGCAGGGCAGGGCAGGGCAGGGGGCAGAGCAGAGTAGAGTAGAGCAGAGCCGGTGGAACTCAATATTAAGACAGATTTCTGTGACTTCAGACAACTTCCAATAACATCCAGTTCCTGATGGAGAGCCGGCTGGAGAAGAGGACCAAGAACGTGTTTATGCCAGTGGGGGGTAAGCGTCTGCTGTGCTTCCTGGACGACCTGAACATGCCTGCCCTGGACCTGTTCGGCTCACAGCCTCCTCTGGAGCTGCTGCGGCACTGGGCCGACTACGGATTCTGGTACGACCGGCAGAAGCAGACGCTCAAGGTGGTAAAGGTGAGGCGCCCAGGAGACACACCTGCTCCACACTCTACCATCGACTGTAGATGACCAACGGTTTACATGGAAGTCAATAGGAGACAGACAGAGGACACTTCACAATGAGCACTTCACTGTTGGGCTTTCTGCTCTGGTCTCAGACATGTTACTGCTCTGGTCTCAGGACATACTGCTGCTGGCTGCCATGGGGCCTCCTGGAGGGGGCAGGACGCAGATCTCCAGCCGTCTGCAGAGTCGCTTCAACCTCCTCAACATGACCATCCCCAGTGTATGTCCAACCTTCAGGATTAAGTATTTCTGTTGACAATAACTTATGTATCTTTACAGTCACAGATGTAGACACATGTAAAGCTTATGTATCTTTACAGACACATGTAAAGCTTAGTATCTTTACGCACAGATGTAGACACATGTAAGGCAAGGCTAGGCAAGTGTATTTGTATAGCAAAATATGCTGAACAAAATAAGATAGTATTAAAATCATAAATAATCACAGTATATTAAAAAGAAAGATAATAATATAAAATTCCTCAGTTGTATGCACAGCTAAACAGAACTGTTTTTAACCTGGTTTTAAACATTGTCAGAGAGGAGGCCTGTCTCACATCTTCAGGAACATTGTTCCAGATTTTAGCAGCATGAATCTGAAAAGCAGCCTCCCCATGTTTAGTCCTGACTCTGGCACTAACAGGAGTCCCGTCCCTGTGCTCCTCAAAGTCCCGGCTGGTTCATATGGGACTAGCATGTCACTAATATATTTTGGTGCGAGGCCATGGAGAGACTTGTAACAAGCAGAGCTGTTTTAAAGTCTATTCTCTGAGCCACAGGAAGCCAGTGCAGAGACCTGAGGACTGGACAAATGTGATCGTACTTCCTGGTTCTGGTCAGGACTCGAGCTGCTGCATTTTGAATGTACTGCAGCTGTTTTACAGCCTGTTTGGACAGACCTGTGAGCAGGCCATTACAGTAGTCTAACCTACTGGAGACAAATGCATGGATAAGAATCTCCAAGTCTGCTTTATACACTATGTTTTTGATCCTGGCAATGTTTTTTATATGGTAAAAATCTGCTGATATTACTGATTTGATGTGGCTATTAAAATTTATTTCTGAGTCCAGTATTACCCCTAGATTTCTGACCTGGTTTGAAGGTTTTAGGGAGAGAGACTGTAGGTGACAGATGACGCTCTCTCTTTGTTTCTGGGGACCAAAGACAATAATTTCAGTTTTGTCTGCGTTTAGCTGGAGAAAGTTATATTGCATCCACTCACTGATCTGTTGGATACAGTGAAGGAGTGAGTCCATTGGTCCATGTTCTCCTGCAGTCAGTGAGACATAGATCTGAGTATCGTCTGCAAAGTTGTGATAGGACACTTCCTGATGCCGCGAAGCCTTACGTCAGGAGCAGTGGTTGCCGTAGTACAGTGCCCGGGAACCCATCTCCAGTTGTTGATGCTCGGCTTATTAACTGACCCCTGTGGTACTCCACAGGTCAGGGCCATATGATCTGAGACACAGTTTGCAATCTCCACAAAGTATTTCCTGTCTTCGAGGACTGGGTGCCAGCCCAGTCCTCGAGTCTCTGTAAGAGGATCTCATTGTCGACAGTGTCAAAAGTACTCAGATCTAATAAGATTAAGATTGAGACTTTGCCTGCGTCAGTGTTCAGCCGGATATTGTTTGTTATCTTGACCAGAGCAGACTGAGTGCTGTGGTGTGGTCTAAAGCCAGACTGAAACATGTCGAATGAGTTGTTGATAAAAAGAAATCTAGTAAGCTGTAGGTAGACAACTTTTTCAAGGACTTTCCCCATAAATGGCAAATTTGAGATGGGACGATAGTTGTGAAGTACTGTAGCATCTAGACTGCTCTTTTTTAGAAGGGGCCTGATGAATGCAGTTTTCAGGGCCTTTGGGAATATTCCAGAATTAAGGGACATGTTTACTATCTGCTCAGAACAGACTTCAGAAATCTAGTGGGTAGTACATCTAGGCTGCATGTGGAGGAGCTCAGACTTGTGATTATCGCTTGGACAGTTTTATCATCTACAGGTGCAAAGTGAGTTAGCTCAAAGAGCCTTTCTGGCTGTTGGATTGTTATCTGTGGATTGGAGACAATGGCGTTTTTGATGCCTTCAACCTTGTCATTGAAAACATTTTCACTCTCTTTGCATTTACGTTTGGAAGTTAGCTCTAATGGCAGCTTTTACTGCAGCCTTCAATCATTTCAGAAAAATACCTTTCTTTCGTACTACGTAGCACCCGGTTAAACTCGCACAACTTATATTTGAAGATCTTGAAATCAACCTGGAGGTTGGACTTTCTCTTCTGTGCCCTGACCGTGTCTGCTTTAGCCCACGGCGCCTTCTTCTTATTATTCACTATTTTAACCTTCACAATATTAATATGAATATTAAAATCACCTGTAATAACTAAACTATCAAAATCTGTGCAAACAACTGAAAGCAACTCAGTGAAATCAATAAAACAGTGACATGACTGCGGTGGCTTGTATAGGACATTGAAGAGTATTGGAGGAGATTGTTTTTGCTGTATTTTAACTTCCCAAGGGACATTCTATGTGTCTTCAAAAAGGTTCAACTACAGTATCTGGACAAAACCAACAAAATCAGAAAAGGGATTTGTTTTTACTTACAGTGATGAGGAGTGACTGCCAGTCACAGGGTAGGGACCCTACCCTGTAGCTTTCATCCAGCTGGGATGAAATATTTATCTTCCCAAACATAGCTAATTTGAGGGCATTTTGCATGTGGATACCAGTCTGCTCATGCTTCTTTGCCTTTTCTAAAAAGTGCTTCAGATCAGTCATACCTGTCTTGATCCATGCTGGGTCAGATCCTGATGTTTGAAACAAGAGGCATGGAAAGCAAAATAAAGCATTAGCCTCGCTACATGCTGCTAGCCAAGATTTGGCGCTGAACCAGGTCCTGGAAAAAGTACGAGTGTACCGTCTCCCCCTGTCACTGGACTGCTGACTAATGGTAATATTTGGCTGATCAGGTCCAAGCTCTTTAACCTCAACCTTCTCCTGGTATGATCTTCTCTCAAACGGTATTGTTTTGAGTGATCTAACTGAATTATTCTTTTTCTCGTTCTCCATTTTGCGTCTCTTTACGTTCGTCTCAAACTCCCACAGCTTGACCTGTCAATCACTGTAAACGGACGTCACAGACAGTGACAGTACAGGTCGCGGGCGATCCCGCCCCCTCAGGGCGCACTTCTCCTGCGCCCCCAAATCGTCTTATCTCTTCTATTGAAGAGGAGCTACTGCGCATGTACAACTTTTAACGAGAGTCCATAGACGGCTCAGGGCGCAATCTTTTGCGCCCTGAGGCGGAAATACGTCCTCAGTCCGACACAGACAACGCTGATGAGCTTAATCAATCCAACTCAGCATAAACTATAAAGTATTTCTTCCACATCTGAAATAAAACACACATAAATTTCGAAATATTTTAATGTTATTATTTTTTTTAACGTTTTATTCAAGGTAACATGGCAAGTTGTGAGTGGTGGGGCGGCGCCCTAGCGCCCTCTATTGGCCGGCCGCCACTGGTGACTGGGATCAAAGGAGGACAGAACAAGTGCTGCTTATAGCGTTCTCCCCCAGTCACTTCTGAACTCACTGCTCCCACGGAGTGGGCTTTATTGAAAGATAAAAACACCCACAACCCACACAGAATATCCCCACAAGTAAAACAATGTAGGTCAACCCAAAAGTTGTCTCGATTGATTATATTCACATTAATTTAGACTCAAATTTGAAATATGGTGGTGATGCTTCTATTAAAACTGCATTTCCTGTATTTTGGTCAAGCCATGTTTCAGAATTAGATTTTCCCGAATTGACTGACTAACTCCAGATGTCTTTCTGTTATGTATTCTTTGTTTTATCACTAAGGGAATTGCACAGGTGGCTTTATGACGGGCCCCAGCTGGGTCTCTCCTCTAACTAGACTGCCAGTGGCTGAGAAGCAGAGACCCTGTGCATCCTAGTGTTTAGAGATAAGAGGGGAAGGGGAAAGCGGGGGAGGAGGATGGAGAGGTAGGTGGTTTTTGGGTGTTGGACGAAGGGGATGGTGAGGTGGAGGGGTTTTTGGTGATGGGTTAGGGGAGGGGTGGTCTGAGGCGGAGGTTTTGAGTGTTGAACGAGGGGGAAGTGGGGGTGGAAGGGAGGGACGGGCTGAGGTGGTTTTTGTGGGTAAATCAGGAGAATTGGATACCCTAGGTGGCTTTAGAGGTACGTATGGGGAGTAGTTTTGAATGTTGGACAGGACTCTGGACCGAGCTAATATGGGTGTGAGAGGCCTGCAGATTTTTCAGGTAAGTCTAATTGTGAAGGCGGGGATGGAAAACAAAGGGAAGTGTCCCCATTTTCTCTTGATGGAGTGGACATGGCAGGGGGGACCCAAGACAGCTCCATGGGAGGTGGCGAGGGAGTCTTTGGTGGAGGGGGAGGTGGTTGAGGAAACCCCAGCACAGGCCTGCTGTAGCCTGGGGTGATGGGGGCTTCAGAGGAGCTGTAGGTGAAGAAGGCGTGACTGCTTCTGAGCGGGCTGGGGATAAGGATGTTGGTGGTGGTGGTGGTGCTGCTACTGGTGATGATGCAGGCAGAGGTGTTGAGATCTGTCGAGGCGGTGGAGGTGTAGAGACCTTTGGAGTCGGTGGAGATGGTTGTGTTGTTGCCGGAGAAGCCCTTTGCCTCTTCCTTCCTTTCCATGGCGCTGCGCAGGCTGAGGTCTCAGGGCAAAGCAACCGTATCCATCAACACTTTTACTCCGTAAGTGTTTAAAGTAAGTAAGTAAGTAAGTAAGTAATCTTTATTTATATACCGCCTTTGACAGACCAGAGTCACAAAGCGGTTTACAATTGTTATTTTTGGGCACTTGTCCTCTCACTCCACACAGAGATGGGAGCGGGGTCGCCGAACAGGAGGCGCATGCCAGACCTATTGGACATATTTTTAGTGGTAGGGGAAACCCGGAGTACCCGGAGGAAACCTACGCAGACACGGGGAGAACATGCAAACTCCACTCAGAAAGGCCCTTGTCCGGCCGGGATTCGAACCAAGGACCTTCTTGCTGAGTGGCGAGAGTGCTATCCACTCAGCCACCGTGCCGCCCCAAGTATTTAGCAGATACAGACGATTGAATTTCATTTGCTTCCTGTCCACATTTGGTAGTGGTCCACTAATAACAATTTTTAAGTCCATTTTTTCAAAGTCGTCCAATAATAGAGAAAAATCCCTATTCATCTTTTCACTTGACTTGTCATAGATGTCTACTGCCCCCACGTGGATCAACAATCTGTTAACACCGTGGTTTTGAGACAGGAGCTTTTGACTCAGCGCTCTTATCTCGTCCACTTTTGCAGAGTGTACGGAAAAGGTTTTCATACCACGTATTATTACATTCCTGATGGCAGAATCACCAATAAGGAATACTTCAGCAGCATTTGACCTTGACTGAGACTGAGACAGACACTGAGACGCTGCCGTTGTTTCTGCTTCCAAAAGCGGTGAAAAACGATTTCTTGTATTTAAAGGTTTTTGCTGTGGCATTATTACACTCCTGTTATCATTAGCTTTGCCTTGTTTGGGCTTGGCACCGTATGTGTTCCAGCAATGGTCATCGTTGATTTTGGGAAATTAAATAACATCATCAAGACTTACGTTTAATCCTTTTTGTCCATTTCTCTTCATTGGTATAGCCCCATTTCTGACTCAAGGACAAACATTCGGTCTTGAAGAAGTTGTAACTCCTGTTTGAGTGACCAACAGCCGTCGCAAAGTTTTCCTCTTTTTTCCGTCCTCCAGACATGCTTAAAGTTGGTAAATTCCACAAGTCTTGTATTGAAGTTTGTAAAAAGGAGTAATCCATGTTTTGTAGAATAAAAATGTAAATAAAAATGATTAAAGGAGATTAAAAAGCAGCAAGCGAGGAGCAGCGAGAGAATGCGACCGCACTGTACAAGAGCAGGAAGCAGCAGAAAAGTAAAGCTAATGTATCTTTACAGACACAGATGTAGACACATGTAAAGCTTATATATCTTTAAGACACAGATGTAGACACATGTAAAGCTTATATATCTTTAAGACACAGATGTAGACACATGTAAAGCTTATGTATCTTTACAGACACAGAAGTAGACACATGTACAGCTTTGTTCCACGTGTAAAGGCGGTATATAAATAAAGATTGCTTACTTACAGGAGTCTCAGATCATGAGGATCTACAGCACCATGATCAACCAGAAGCTTCAAGGCTTTAAGGAGGAGCTGAAGCCCATTGGGAACGTGTTAACCAAGGCCACAGTGGAGCTGTACCACGCCGTGACCTCCAGGTTCCTCCCCACTCCCGCCAAAATACACTACCTCTTCAACCTCCGGGACATCTCCAGGGTACAGCAGCAACACTCTCTCCTCATTCAGATGGACACATCCTTCACTACTTCTTGCTGTATCAAAAATGGTATTGAGTTTTTAATATAGATCCAGAATAGAACGTGCATTAGGAGTGGACTGAGCGACTGTGACATCACCACACTGTGACATCGCAGTGTTAGCCTTGATGCAGAAGAAGCTGATTTGAACCTATGCTGGGGCCAGTTTCCTTATTTGGGCATTTGTTCTGACGTTAGCTTAGCGCTGTAACAGGAGCAGACGTGTTGCTAAGACGGTTGCTAAGGAAAGCTGGAGTTTCCCCTGAATGAAGGCCTCTTATTGGTCAGTCCTTATATGGTCATATCTGGATTAACAAAGTGTCAACGCTGGTTCAGCCACGGTTTCCCCTTCGATGAAAAATGGACACTACAAATTCTGCTTAGATATATAAAAAAGGTTTAATATATAAAAAGACAGAATACAGATTACAGGCTAGTGTCAGACTGGTGCTCCAGTCCGGGCCCTGCTCCCTGGCAACTCCAAAAGCAAAAGACACTGCTTCAGGAACAGGCTATCGATGATAAGCACACAGTCACATGACCATGATAATTGAAGACATGTGTTTCAACATCCTTAGGTGAAGACAATACCTTCTCTGTTTCAGGACAAACACATAGCCCCTTTCAGAGTAAGCCTGAGGCTACTAAAAAACAGATGTTCTCTGCGCTTTTCTTAATTTAACTTCCTGTGCTTAATGGCTGGGGAATGATTCACACATTCTTCACTCTGCAGACTAGCTACTAGATCCATACTAGACTAAACTAACGTTACATTTATTAATATGATAATAACACAATAACATACTCCATTGACACAAAGACATCACTTATAAAATGGTAATGGTAATGTCACACAAACGCTACTGACGAGTTTGCTTTTACATAGAAGTCAATATACACGTGTTTTGGTGTGTGGCAGAAAACTGTACTTTATGAGACTTGAAAACAGTTGTTGTCACTGATGTCCTTCCAGGTTTTCCAAGGTCTGCTGCGAGCCAATCCCGACTGTCATGATTCCAAAACCACCATGGTCAGACTCTGGATCCACGAATGCTTCAGGTACAAAACCTCTGTGTGTTCCTCTGTTCTGGATGTCATGATGTGGTTGTTTCAGGGTGTTCTCGGACAGACTCGTGGACCACAGCGACTCCGACACCTTCATCAACCTGTTGTCGGACAAACTGGGATCACTCTTTGATCTCACATACCACAACACCTGCCCCAACAAACAGCAGCCTGTGTTTGGTGAGTTCAACCAGGACTGAGGCTGTAGACCCAGGACTGAGGCTGTAGACCCAGGACTGAGGCTGTAGATCCAGGACTGAGGCTGTATCTTCTTCTTGACCATGTTTTGAATGTGATGTTTAGGTGAGTTCCTCAGTGATCCTCCAGTGTACGAGGACCTCCAGGACATGAAGGCTCTCAGGACCTTCATGGAGACACAGCTGGAGGACTTCAACCTGACCCCTGGTGTTGTGCCCATGAGCCTGGTGCTCTTCAGAGACGCCATCCAGCACAGTACGTGTTTGTCTGCTTTGTAGTTATAGGATCTCACTGTAGCATTTGTCCACCACACACCATAGACTGTGTTTTAAGAGTGGACTGAGCGAGTGTGACATCACCACAGTGTGACATCACCACCATGTTAGCTCCAGTGCGGAGGAGGGTGATTTGAATATAAGCTGGAGCCAGTTTCCTTATTTGTGCATTTGTTCTGACGTTAGCTTAGGAAGAATGGTCAGTCCTTATATGGTCATATCTTACAAAGACATCACATATAAACACAGGATTGCAGATAAACCACAGATTGAAGCCCAAAATTGTGATGTCACACAAACGCTACTGAGGAGTTTACTTTGACACAGAAGTCCATAGGAGCCAGAGGGAGGAGCCAAACTTTAGCCTTGAGCTAGCGGGTTAGCCATGAGCTAGCGGGTTAGCATCGGTCTACAGTCTATGGTTCTAACACAGTAGATATATATCCAACCTTTCTGTCTGAGACACTGCAGACTTTTCCTCCTCCACAGTCACGCGTGTGGTCCGTGTGATCAGCCAGCTGAGGGGCAACATGCTGCTGGTGGGGATCGGGGGCTCGGGCAGGACCAGCCTGTCCAAACTCGCTGCTTTTATCTGCCAATACCAGGTGTTCCAGGTGGAGGTGACCAAGCAGTACCGCAAGCAGGAGTTCAGGGAAGGTAGGCTTACGTCATGGCCAATGGGATTCTTCTATTTATATATTGCTACATGTTTTTCTTCTTAAGATTAGATAAACGTAATGTAATTCTGTGATTCATTTCATTCAAACAACCAAATATATGGACTGAAGCTGTAGACCCAGAACTGAGGCTGTAGATCCAGGACTGAGGCTGTAGACCCAGGACTGAGGCTTCAGACCCAGGACTGAGGCTGTAGACCCAGGACTGAGACTGTAGATCCAGGACTTAGTAAACTCACTGGTTCTTGCCCTGTTTTCCTCAGATATCAAAAAGCTGTATCGTCTGGTGGGGGTGGACAACACGCCCACCGTGTTCCTCTTCAACGACACTCAGATTGTGGATGAGTCTTTCTTAGAAGACATCAACAACATCCTGAGCTCTGGGGAGGTGCCAAACCTGTACAAGCAGGACGAGCTCGTGGAGGTACCACTCTGTCTGCTCCAGGGCCTCAGGCTCCAGGGCCTCAGGCTCCAGGGCCTCAGGCTCCAGGGCCTCAGGCTCCAGGACAACTGTGTCCAAACATCTGCTGTGTCTGCAGCTCTGCACCGCTCTGGCAGACTGTGCCAGGAACCAGAAGGTCCCGGAGACACCAGACTCTTTGTACCAGTTCCACATCGAACGAGTGAGGAACAACCTGCACATAGTCCTCTGTATGAGCCCCGTGGGAGAGCCTTTCAGGTACTGCACAATGGTCCTCTGTATGAGCGCAGAGGGAGAGCCTTTCAGGTACTGCACATGGTCCTCTGTATGAGCCCAGAGGGAGAGCAGGTACTGCACATGGTCCTTTGTATGAGCCCAGAGGGAGAGCAGGTACTGCACATGGTCCTCTGTATGAGCCCAGAGGGAGAGCAGGTACTGCACATGGTCCTTTGTATGAGCCCAGAGGGAGAGCAGGTACTGCACATGGTCCTTTGTATGAGCCCAGAGGGAGAGCAGGTACTGCACATTGTCCTTTGTATGAGCCCAGAGGGAGAGCAGGTACTGCACATGGTCCTCTGTATGAGCCCAGAGGGAGAGCAGGTACTGCACTTGGTCCTCTGTTTTGTATTGGACATGACGATGGTTCTTGTGTCCCCAGGAGCCGTATCTTGCAGTACCCCGCCCTGGTCAACTGCACCACCATCGACTGGTTCTGTGACTGGCCCAAAGACGCTCTGCTGGAGGTTGCAGAGCGCTCCCTCAACGGGATGGACCTGGGATCCATCCCTGGGGTGAGAAAACCCTCAACTCCATAGTCCCAGACCAGACTCAGTCTCCGTCCCAGACCAGACTCAGTCCAGACTCAGTCCCAGACCAGACTCAGTCCAAGACCAGACTCTGTCCAAGACCAGACTCAGTCCCAGACCAGACTCAGTCCAAGACCAGACTCAGTCCCAGACCAGACCCAGCCCCAGACCAGACTCAGTCCCAGTCTATACTCAGTCATACTCAGTCCATGGTAAAATGGCTAGTATCTTCATGCTAGTATCTTCATGCTAACTGTTGTAGATCCATGGTAAAGTGGCTAGTATCTTCATGCTAACGCACCAGTCCGTGGAGCGCGTCTCCAAAAGGATGAAGCTGGAGCTAAAACGACACAACTATGTGACGCCGATGAACTATCTGGAGCTGGTGTCTGGATACAAGAAGTAATAACAACTCATTTATGGTTTTGTGCTTCAGTTTGACTTCATCAAACTTCTTTCCTCTCCAGACTTTTGGTAGAGAAGCGTAAAGAGTTAGGCGACCAGGTGAGCAAGCTGCGGAATGGTCTGTTTAAGATCAGCGACACCAGGAACAAGGTGGAGGTGATGACCGTGGAGCTGGAGGAGGCCAAGCGCCAGGTGGCACAGTTCCAGGACGAGTGCGACAACTTTCTCACCGTCATCGTCCAACAGAAGGCCGAGGCCAACCGCCAACAACAGGTACCAGCAGCAGGTACCAGCAGTAGGCACCAACAGCAGGTATCAACAGCCAACAACAGGTACCAGCAGACAGGTTTCAGCAGACAGCGGCAGGTACCTTCCGGCACCAGCTCCCGCTGTGCAGCTCGTCACTTTGGTTCTCTTCTCTTTCCGACCCTTTCTCTATTTATTTCTTGTAGATGTACTTTTTTATTTTTATTTTTTGTAGGCAAGCATTTATTTGTGCATTGTGCACACGGTAAGCCTAGCCTTGTGGACTTTCTCACTGGATTAACATGTCTTTGGCACTTTTTTCGGAGTCCTCCGCTCACAGAGCCACGAGACCAGCGTGTCCCATTGTTTACTCACGGGAGCAGCTTCTCGGACTTAGAGACTCCGCTTTCCGGCACTCAGAGAAGCCGGTGATCCCCTTGGAGATCCGTAGGAGACGCAGGGGCTCCAGAGGAGGCCGAAAGAGGAAGAAGAGACCGTATCTCCCCTCCATCCTCATGGGGAACGTACGGTCCATCTCTAATAAGACTGAGGAGCTGACCGCACTGGTCCGCCATCAAAAAGCGTACAGACAATGTGGACTTATGTGTTTCTCTGAGACGTGGCTGTGTGGGAATATACCGGATTCTGTGGTCGCGCTGGAGGGATTTAAACTTTTGCGAGCAGACCGCTGCGCGGAGGGGAGTGGGAAGAGGAAAGGCGGGGGTGTCGCGGTCTACGTGAACGAGCAGTGGTGCATCCCGACACATGTGCATGTGGTTTAGCATACATGCACACAGGACCTGGAGCTGCTTGCTGTGAGCATGAGACCCAGGTATCTGCCGCGGGAGTTTTCACACACCGTGGTTCTATGTGTTTACATCCCTCCGTCAGGAGACGGGGCCGCGGCATGTGAGGGGATACACAGAACTGTGACCCAGATCCAGACCCGCAGTCCCCGCGCTCTGATTCTGATCAGCGGAGACTTTAACCACGCCTCCCTCTCCGCCAATCTCCCGACATTCACACAGTATGTCACGTGCCCAACTCGTGGCAATAAGACTCTGGACCTACTGTATGTTAATGTGCGGGACGCATACGCCTCCTCCACCCTCCCCCCTCTCGGACGCTCTGATCACAGCCTGGTCCGTCTGTCTCCGGAATACACACCAGTGGTGAGAAGAAATCCAGCGCAGAGGAGGATTGTAAAAGTGTGGAGCGATGATGTGGATGAGATGCTGAGAGATTGTTTTCAAAACACTGATTGGGAAATGATCTGCAGCTCTCATGGTGAGGACATTGAGAGCCTGACACACTGCATTACAGACTATATTCTCTTCTGTGTGGATAACACTGTACCAACTAAGAAGGTGCGGTGTTTTTCTAACAACCACCCATGGGTGACCCCTGAGCTTAAAGCCCTCCTGAACCTCAAGAAAAGGGCTTTCATCTCAGGGGACAGGGAGGAGCAGAAGAGGATCCAGCACGAGCTCCAGTGGAGGATCACGAGGGCCAAGAAGGACTATGGGAAAAAGCTGGAGCAGAAGCTGGCCCAGGGAAACGCCCGCGACGTGTGGAGAGGCCTAAAGAACATCTCCGGCTTTGGACAGAGTGCCAGAGGAACAGCGGAGGGAGACCAGCACCGGGCGGATGAATTTAACCAGTACTTCAACCGGTTTGATTCTCCCCCCTCTCCATCTGCCCCCCCTCCCGCCCCCACCTCTTCACACGTCCCCAGCCCAGTGGACACCGCCCAGTGGACACTGCCTCCGGCTGCCCCGGGCCCTCCTGCCCCCGCATCCCCAGCCCCCACCTCGGACAGTACACCCCGGTCCCCCCCCCCTCTCCATCACACCGGACCAGGTGAGGAGTCAGCTCCAGCGCCTGAAGCTGAGGAAATCCGCAGGACCGGACGGGATCAGTCCCAGGCTGCTGAGGACCTGTGCAGACCAGCTCTCTGGGGTCCTCAGCTACATGTACAACCTGAGCCTCAGCCTGGAGAAGGTCCCTGTCCTGTGGAGGACCTCCTGTGTGATCCCGGTTCCAAAAACAGCACACGCCAAGGAACCGGCTCACTACAGACCAGTCGCACTGACCTCCCACCTGATGAAGACCATGGAGCGGCTCATCCTCACCCATCTCCGCTCCGTGGTCAGCCCCACCCTGGACCCGCTGCAGTACGCCTACAGACCCAACATCGGAGTAGAGGACGCCGTCATCTACTTCCTGCAGCGGACGCTCTCCCACCTGGAGCCCGCCGGGAGCGCTGTGAGGGTCATGTTTTTCGACTTCTCCAGCGCTTTCAATACCATCAGGCCGGCACTGCTGCAGGGGAAGATGGAGGACGCGGGAGTGGACAGTAGCCTCACTGCATGGACCATCAACTACCTCTCAGACCGACCACAGTACGTGCGGCTGCGCAGCTGTGAGTCTGAGGTGGTAGTCTGCAGCACTGGGGCCCCTCAGGGCACTGTCCTCTCACCGTTTCTCTTCACCATCTACACCTCAGACTTCACACACGACACACACAGCTGTCACCTGCAGAAGTTCTCCGACGACTCCGCCATCGTGGGCTGTGTGTCTGAGGGGAACAAACTGGAATATCAGTCGGTTATCAAGGACTTTGTCGACTGGTGTGAGCGCAACCACTTGTGCTTGAACACCAGTAAGAGATGATCATCGACTTCAGGAGAAAACCACTTTCCCACACGCTGCTGAACATCCAGGGGGAGGACATTGAGCTGGTGGACAGCTTCAAGTACCTGGGTGTTCACATTAACAATAAACTGGACTGGTCCCATAATACAAACGCCCTGCACAAGAAGGGCCAAAGTCGCCTCTTCCTTCTGAGGAGGCTGAGGTCCTTCGGAGTGAGCAGGCCTCTGCTCAGGACTTTTTATGACTCTGTGGTAGCTTCTGCCATTTACTACGCTGCCGTGTGCTGGGCCCCGGGCAGCACAGAGCGGGACAGAAACAGACTGAACAAGCTGGTCAGGAGGGCCAGCTCCACTCTGGGCTGCTCCCTGGACTCTGTGGAGGAGGTGAGGGACAGGAGGGTGCTAGCCAAAGCCACCTCCATCATGAACAATACCTCCCACCCACTGCACAGGACTGTAGAGGAGCTGAGGAGCTCCTTCAGTGGAAGACTGAGACACCCTCAGTGTAGGAAGGAGCGCTACCGCAGGGCCTTTATCCCCACCGCTGTCAGACTGTACAATAAGTCACTTTAAATGATCACTGTGTGAAAACCTGCACTACTATTGACACTGTTTCCAATTGACACTTGTCACTTTTGTTGTACATAATTATTGTCACTTTTATTGTACATATATCCTGCATGTAACATGTTTGCACATTTCCTCCTTTTGCACAATCTGAGTGTTCTATCCATGCCAAATGTGACATGTAAATTTCTCCTCTGTGAGATAAATAAAGCTTATCTTATCTTATCTTACCAGCAGACAGGTGCCAGCAGCAGGTATCAGCAGCAGCCATCTTAGAATACAGGATTGTTAATAGAGACCAACAGTTTAATTTGACTGAGTACTTGTCCAGGTGCTTTCTCAAGTCCTCACATGTCTCACACTGGTCTCTGGTGGTGCCTCACATGTCTCACACTGGTCCCTGGTGGTGCCTCACATGTCTCACACTGGTCCCTGGTTACATGGTGCCTCACATGTCTCACACTGGTCCCTGGTTACATGGTGTTGTTGCAGTTTAATGTATTCCAATGTGGTTTTACTGCAAATGGAAAATAAAAAAGAATTGTAGTGTTTTCGAACCAGAGTTAGTCCCAAGTGAACAATGAGTTGAAGGAGTTCCTTTTGCTTTTCTCAGAGTACTTTTATTCTTAAGTACTTACTGTATATCCTGAAGTACTCTGTGTGTGCAGGCAGTGACCTCCAACAGTGAGAAGATAGCAGCTGAGGAGATCCAGTGCAAAGCTCTGGCAGACAACGCACAGAGAGACTTGGATGAAGCTTTGCCTGCTCTGGAGGAGGCCATGAAGGTGTGCTACTGTCACACACTTATCATGTCATTTATATATGTATATGTACTGTATATAATATATAATAATATATATATGTGGTCAGGCTCTGGAGTCACTGAACAAAAAAGACATGACAGAGATCAAGTCGTACGGACGTCCTCCGGTGCTGGTGGAGACCGTGATGCAGGCAGTGATGACCCTCCTGGAGAAAGAGCCCAGCTGGGCTGAGGCCAAGAGGCAGCTGGGTGAGAGAGACCAGAGAGAGACCAGAGAGAGACCAGAAAGAGACCAGAGAGACCCCAAAGTGGCGTAGGACCCAGTAGGGCTGGTTGAAACGGTCTGTAGTGAGTGTGTTGTGATGTGTTGTATGATCCTTCTGCTATGGACCTTCAGGTGAGTCCAACTTCATTAAGACTCTAGTGAACTTCGACAAAGACAACATTTCTGACCGAGTCCTGAAGAAGATTGGACAGTTCTGCAAGCAGTCGGACTTCCAGCCGGACATCATTGGGAAAGTGTCGCTTGCTGCTAAGTCCCTGTGTATGTGGGTCAGAGCCATGCAGGTAAAACCCCACACTGCAGCCACACAATGTGTTTGTGTATCACTCTAAACCACAGCAGTCTCTCAGGACTTTACAAAGTTGTGGATTCACCAACAACAGATCAGAGAATCAGACAGTTCAAACACATAGAGACATTGGTCCATGAGGTGCAACCTCTGTCCACAACTGTACAGACATGGATCATCACGGTCCTTAGAGCCTCCAGAGGAACCACTCAGAAACACAGTGGGAGGAAAGTGAGAAACCTCCGGGATCTGCTCCCACAGACGCATAGGCTTCATCCACAGCTGTTTCTGCAGCTGTGTCTGCGGCTGGATCAGAGCGCTGCACCTGAACACCACACAGACACATGTCTAATGTCAGTTCATTTGTTAAAACAAGCTTTTTCCAGGTCTATGGCCAGTTGTTCCGGGTGGTGGAGCCCAAACGTGCCCAGCTCACTGCAGCCATGTCCGAGCTGAAGGAGAAGCAGGGGGCGCTGGCTGAGGCCCAGGACAAACTCAAGGAGGTGAGAGACCAGGGTAAGGGGTAGAGAAGCCTCATGGTTCATTCTCTCTGCTGTCACAGGTGGCAGATAAACTGGAGCAGCTAAAGAAACAACATGCAGAGAAGCTGGCCATGAAGGAGAACCTGAGGCTGAAGTCTGAGGACATGGTAGTCAAATTGGAACGGGCTGACAAGCTGGTGACCGGGCTGGCAGGGGAGAGAGTCCGCTGGGAGGAGAGAGTCACGGTACACACTACACTACACTCTCTGGTCTCTCTCTGGTCTCTCTCGTGCCTCTCTCTCTGGTCTCCCTCTGGGGTCCCTCTGGTCTCCCTCTGGGGTCCCTCTGGTCTCCCTCTGGTCTCTCTCTGGTTTTCCTCTGGTCTCTCTCTGGTAAACCATGTGTCTTCCCCAGGGCCTGGAGGAGTGTATGAGTTATCTGGTAGGAGACAGTTTACTTGCAGCATCCTTTCTTTCCTACATGGGGCCATTTTTATCAAACTACAGAGAAGAGCTGCAGGACTTGTGGCTGACAGAGGTAATAGTCCTCCTGTTCCTCTGCTCTGTGGATAGAGAACTCATGATATCATGTCTTTGTCCAGATCCGAGAGCTGCAGATCCCCTGTTCCCCCGGGTTCAGCTTTGCTGTGTTCTTGTCCAAACCCACAGTGGTGCGGGACTGGAACCTCCAGGGTCTGCCCTCGGACGCTTTCTCAACTGAGAACGGGGTCATCGTCACTCGGGGAAACCGGTAAGAAAGACATTCTGTATATATAGACATATATACAAGTGGGGCAAAAAAGTATTTAGTCAGCCACCGATTGTGCAAGTTCTCCCACTTAAAATAATGACAGAGGTCTGTAATTTTCATCATAGGTACACTTCAACTGTGAGAGACAGAATGTGAAAAAAAAAATCTAGGAATTCACATTGTAGGATTTTTAAAGAATTTATTTGTAAATTATGGTGGAAAATAAGTATTTGGTCAATAACAAAAATTCAACTCAATACTTTGTAATATAACCTTTGTTGGCAATAACAGAGGTCAAACGATTAGGTCTTTACCAGGTTTGCACACACAGTAGCTGGTATTTTGGCCGATTCCTCCATGCAGATCTACCCGAGAGCAGTGATGTTTTGGGGCTGTCGGCGAGCAACACAGATTTTCAACTCCCTCCACAGATTTTCAATGGGGTTGAGGTCTGGAGACTGGCTAGGCCACTCCAGGACTTTCAAATGCTTCTTACGGAGCCACTCCTTCGTTGCCCGGGCGGTGTGTTTGGGATCATTGTCATGCTGGAAGACCCAGCCACATTTCATCTTCAAAGCTCTCACTGATGGAAGGAGGTTTTGGCTCAAAATGTCACAATACATGGCCCCATTCATTCTTTCCTTAACACGGACAGTCGTCCTGTCCCCTTAGCAGAAAAACAGCCCCAAAGCATGACGTTTCCACCCCCATGCTTCACAGTAAGTATGGTGTTCTTGGGATGCAACTCAGTATTCTTCTTCCCCCAAACACGACGAGTTGAGTTTATACCAAACAGTTCTACTTTGGTTTCATCTGACCACATGACATTCTCCCAATCCCCTGCTGTATCATCCATGTGCTCTCTAGCAAACTTCAGGCGGGCCTGGACATGCACTGGCTTCAGCAGGGGGACACGTCTGGCACTGCAGGATTTTATTCCCTGTCGCCGTAGTGTGTTACTGATGGTTACCTTTGTTACTTTGGTCCCAGCTCTCTGCAGGTCATTCACCAGGTCCCCCCATGTAGTTTTGGGATTTTTGATCACCGTTCTCATGATCATTTTGACCCCACGGGATGAGATCTTGTGTGGAGCCCCAGATCAAGGGAGATTATCAGTGGTCTTGTATACAATACTATACAATACAATACAATTTATTCTTGTATAGCCCTAGGTCACAACAGAAGTCATCTCAGAGGACTTAACAAAACCATTGAAATCACCAACACAGGTCAGAGAATCAACAGTTAAAACACATGAAGAATATAAAGCACACACAGAAGAAAATGTCCATACATGTTGTAGAATGCTAAAGTGTCCTGATCATCACCAATCCTTTCTGTTGGACACTAACTGTCCAACAAGACCCTCCTGCATCGACAAGGAAAAACTCTTAAAAAACCCAGTGGGAAAAAGTGAGAAACCTTGGGGAGAACTAGGGAAACCCACAGGGAGGGAGACCCATTTGAGAAAGGGATCCGCTCCTCCGGACGGACAGGCTAATGATCTAGGACCTAAGCTAGCTACAGAACGTGGACCAGTGGCCGCTGAACGTGGACAGGTCCGGTGCAGGACTGAAGCACTCCCAGGCGGGTCGGGCGGGGCAGTCCGCAGGTGTAGATGGAGGAGGCCAGGCTCAGAGATCCCGTCATCGTACCATTAAACAGACAATGGGACAACGGGTGAATAGTAATGAACAAACTACAGTCAAAATCCTAATAATGCTAAACAGATAAAGTAGGAAGGAGGAGAGGATAGTGCTCAAGTTACCATACTTCTCCCAGCAAACTGACTCCCTATGCAGCTTGACTAACACTCTGAGGAGTTTAACCTTCTCCGAGTCTTACCTTCCTAGCCATATGCTAAACTAAAGAGGACTGTTTTAAACCTAGCCTTGAATAAAGAGAGCGTATCTGAAAGGAGGTGAGACAGCAGCAGCAGCCACGGCTAGGCTAGCCTAGGTTACAGCACCAAGATTCATGGATTGCACACCAGGTGTGCAAACCGATCCAAGCAAACCTAATTATATATTATATATCATATACATCATATATACCATACATACCATATATATCATATATAATACATAACATAACATACAGCATAATATATAACATAATATATAACATAACACAATACATAACATAATACATATATTGTATAATATATAACATAATACAGCATATATATATAATATATACACCATATATTATATATTACCTAATTATATGCTAAATTAAAGTAGAGTGCTTTAAGCCTGGCCTTGAATGTGGAGACCGTATCTGCTTCCTTAACATAAATGGGAAGCTGATTCCACAGTAAAGGAGCTTGGTAGCTAAATGCTCTGCCGCCAACAGTGATTTTTGAGACCTTAGGAACCACCAGACGTCTGGCGTTTTGTGAGCGCAACGCTCGACTTGGTTGATACGACATTAACGTGTCTTGGAGATAAGAAGGAGCCAAGCCATTTATGGCTTTATATGTTAAGAGAAGGATTTTAAACTTTATTCTGTACTCCACAGGGAGCCAGTGGAGGGATTTTAACACCGGAGTTATGTGCTCCCTCCTTTTGGTACCTGTTAAGATCCTAGCTGCTGTATTCTGAACGAGATGGAAGCTCTTCAAAGAGGCTTTAGGGCACGCTGCCAGTAAAGCGTTACAGTAGTCGAGCCTTGAGGTGACAAACGCGTGAATACGTTTTTCCGCGTCACTTTTAGGAAGGAAATTCCTAATTTTAGCGATGTTCCGTAAGTGGAAGTACGCCGTTTTAGTTGCTTGGCTTATATAAGCCTTGAAGGAGAGTTCTTGGTCAAAAATGACTCCAAGATTCCTCACAGTGTTACTGGGTATAATACTGACATTATCGAGAGTAATTATCTGATTAGTGAGGGAGTCACGCAGGCGCTTCGGACCGAGTAGGATCACTTCTGTCTTCTCCGGGTTGAGAAGTAGGAAGTTAAGAGTCATCCACATTTTAAGGTCCTTTATGCAGGCACTGAGCTTTTCTAGCTGATCTGTCTGATTTGGCTTCATCGACAGATAAAGCTGTGTGTCATCTGCATAGCAGTGGAAATTAATTCCATGCTTTTTAATAATGTTTCCTAACGGCAGCATGTAGAGAGTGAAAAGAATTGGTCCGAGTACCGAACCCTGCAGCACACCGAATTCTACTCCAGAATAAGGTGACGAGTTCTGATTTACGTTGACGAAGTGATACCGATCTGATAAATAGGATTTAAACCAGCCAAGGGCTGTTCCTCTAAGACCTATATCACATTCTAGCCTCTGCAGTAGAATGCTGTGGTCTATTGTGTCAAATGCAGCACTAAGGTCCAGTAGGACCAGCACTGACACTTGTCCATTATCAGCAGCTAGTAGTAAGTCATTTGTGACTTTGACTAGTGCCGTTTCAGTGCTATGATGAGCTCTGAAGCCTGATTGAAAGACTTCAAACATATTATTTTCCTGCAGGTGGCAGCGAAGCTGCTCAGCTATAAGTTTTTCCAGGATTTTAGATATGAAAGTGAGGTTTGAGATTGGTCTGTAGTTTTGTAAGTATTTCTGGGTCCAGGTTTGTTTTCTTCAGAAGGGGTTTGATTACCGCGGTTTTAAAAGCTTGTGGGACATAGCCACATTGTATGGATGCGTTTATTATATTTACGATAGGCTCAATTATCAAAGGAAGTATGTCTTTGAAGAGCCATGTCGGGACTGCGTCTAACATCCAAGTTGAGGCTTTTGAGGATGTGACCACAGAGATCACCTCTGCTTGCCATGAATTTATCGAGGCCCACTGAAGAGTCTAAGTGGGAAGTCACGTATGCCGCTTCAGCTTGTCCACTACCAACAGCAGGAGTAACCTCCTCCAGTTTGTCACGGATGGATGTAATTTTATTATTAAAGAAGTGGAGAAAGTCGACACTGCTCAGTGAGCTTGGAATTTTAGGCTCGATTGCGCTATGGCAGTTTGTGAGTTTCGCGACGGTGCTAAACAAAAATCTACTGTTATTTTTATTCGCTTCTATTAAAGTTGAATAGTATTGAGTTCGAGCCCTGCGAAGGGCATTCTTGTAGTTTCGGAGACCTGCTTTCCACTCCCTGTGGACAGGCTCCGAGTGGGAGTGGCGACATAGCCTCTCCAATTTTCTGACGTCCTGTTTTAAAGTGTGGAGTTGAACACTGTACCAGGGCGACGATGATCTAATCCTAATAGTTTTCTGTTTTAAAGGAGCTGCTGCATTTAATGCAGATTTTAAAGACTCCATAGTGTTGTCCACCGTTTGGTCAATGACTGAGGGACTGCAGCAGCTGTGAACAGGTTCACTTGCAGCAGTATTCAACATAGGCTGTATTAGTTCTTTGAACCTTGTGATAGATTTATCATTTAAGGTTCTTTTCATTATGGTTTTATCTTGCGGGACAGGAAACTCCTCCAAATCGAGATCAAACGTGATCAAGAAATGGTCAGACAGCAACGAGCTTTGACGCTGGATGTCAAAATTGGAGACATCACAGCCGTAGGTCAGGACAAGGTCCAAGGTGTGGTTATGAATGTGAGTAGGTTCCTCGACATTCTGAGTAAAACCAACACCGTCTAGTACGGCGCTGAAAGCTTTGTTTAAGCTGTCAGTGCTGTCGTCCACATGTATATTGAAGTCTCTAGTTATAACTATGTTTTCCCATTCCAGAACTAGGTTTGAAATGAAGTCAGAGAATTCTGTTAGGAACTCGCTGTTAGGACCAGGAGGTCGGTATAAAACTATAAATAGCACCGCTTTTTGTTTTCTCCACCCAGGACAGGTGATTGAAAGTGTTAAGTTTTCAAATGAGTGAAAAGCATTGTTGGTTTTGGGACTAAGAACCAAGTTGGTGTGTGATATAATCGCAACACCACCGCCGCGACCTGCAGTTCTCGCTTTCTGGTAGTTAACATGCGTCGGAGGAGTGCACTCATTCAATCTAACGTAGTCGTCCTGTTGGAGCCAAGTCTCCGAGAGCGCAA